ATAAAGAAGATGGGACTTTCAGGGTGCATAGACATGAATACCACACATTGAAAGTTATATAATTTTTTATTTCGTATTTTGGTGAAACACAAGAGGAAAAAATTCAAAAACATAAAAACAATTTCAATTCTAAGAATACCATATGAGATTCAAACTTGGTTAGGTAAATGTAGCATACTCCCTACATGTTTCGCCCTCAGGGGAGATTTTGTGAGGAACTTTCTACTGCCAAGGCAGTCAAAAAGTATATCAAAGGAAAACTGTTCAATTACCAAACCACTTTAATATATCCAATACAAGGTATTTAATCAAATATATATACATATATATATGGGACTCAATGGCTCACCCTGGGTGTGAAAGCTCACAGAGCTAGAAGAAAATGACCTAAAAAAAATCTTAATTGGCCTACACGTCCAAAACAGTTGTAGAGGATATAATGGGCATCAGATATCATCTAGGCACAATGGGATAAACAAAATATTACTTAAATTTAATGGAAAATATTAAGAGATCATATTTCAATAGGTTGAGAGAAACTTTGGGCAATTTTACCTGTTAAATGCTTTATGATATATAGGTATAACCTAACAAAGATCTATTTGACCTATACGTTCACCACCATAAGAAGGGAAACAATGAACATCAAACATCCATCTAGACAAAATAGGATAGACAAAAATCAGAAACTAATTTAATTTCAAAAAAGAAATCAAGAGACGTTAATGAAAATTAACTTAATTTTACCTATGGAAATTGCAGAGAAATATGAAATATGTTCTGTCTAGAGGTCTAAGTGGCCTATAATGTCCAAATAAGGTTGAAGAAAACAGGGAGTAGGAAAGATTAACTTTTTGGATGTTAGAAGGAGCCTTTTGGTCTATCTTAGTAGATCCAGAGAATTCAGAAAGTCTGATTCTCTTTTTGCAGGAGCATGGAAGGGTTCCAAGGCTTCCAAATCCACCATAGCTAGATGGATTAGAATGGCTATTACGGAATCGTATAGTTTATTAGAAATTCTGCCCCCATTTTTGTTAGTGCACACTCAACCAGATCCTTGTCAGCGTCCTCGGCAGAGAGCCGGTGCCTCACCAGAACAGATCTGTAAGGTGGCCACCTAGTCCAGTTTTTCTACCTTTTTGTGAAACATTGACTGGATCTCCTTTTCTAGCAAGGATCAGGCATTTGGGCGCAAAGTCCTCCAGGCAGTAGCCCCGCCCTAGTGGGTAGGTTCTTGATTGTCTCTAGGAGGCTGTCCTGGAAGATGTTTAGAGAAAACCAGAGTTAGTTACCGGTAACTCCTTTTCTATGAGTCTTTCAGTACAGCTGGGACTTCCCACCCTAAGATTGTACGGTAATGTATGTTTATGCATAAATGGCTGTCTTTTAGTGTCTTCCTGTGGTTCTTGAGTAAAACTGAAGAGGGAGGCCTGGATGTCTGTCTTTAAAGTGCTGTGCTTACGTGTTTCTTGTCCCGGAGGGAGGAACTCTACGTCTCAAGGATCCTGTCCTGGAAGACTCGTTGAAAAGGAGTTACTGGTAAGGCTAACTCTGGATTATTTGGCTGATACACTTCAGTCGTGGATATAGCGGTGCATCCGTAATTTAAATTTCTGTTTTTGGACATACTAATACAGATTGCTACTCTTATTTGACTGTTTAAGGGTACTTTCATATTGCCCCCGCTGTGCTGTGGGTGCAGCGCAACGTAACGTACCTGTTCTTTTCGTGAAGGTTAGCTGTGTTTTCTCATAGACTTCTGTTATATCACATGGTTGTGGTGTGCTGTCCGAAAACGCACCAAAACCACAGGACATAATAGAAGTCTATGGGAAAGCAAAGCTAACCTGCAGAAAAGCTACGGATACACTGTGCTGCCACCAAAGCACAGTGAAACATTGTGAAGCCTCCCTAACAGTGTATGGTTATCATATGTTTGATCAATGGTATGAAGAAAATGTACTCCTAAATATTCGTGTAAAAGAGAATCTGAGGGATCTTTTTGACATACTAAAGCTACAAGGGGCATTCCTGCTAATGTAGGTGGGTGCTGCAGGTATGGACACTGGTAATACAATATTGACGTTTATATTTCTGATGGATATGTCAAAGATCAATAAATTTCTATGCAAAGATACTGATGGTTTGTTTTATTTATTTGATCAATAGAAGTACACTGTAAATGAGAAGATGTATACTCAGAAGAACAGTCAAGCAAAGAGTCTATATTGGACTTGTTGATTCTTCATAATGTTTTCCACCAGAACCTGTGGTATAGCATTTATAATGCAAAGTGTTTTTAGCATGCATCATGCATTACCAATAATTCTTCAGATGCCTTTGTTAGGCTAACCACCACATCACAAAGACACTCATTTATTTTTAAGATATGCTATTTCTGGGGCTCATATAAAAATATTGAGAGCAGACCATTGCTTATATTGGGTTTATATACTATTTTAGGTAATGCTCTGTATTACTATATCAAAAGATAACTTCTAATGATGGTAATGTTTTTGTAGCAATAAAGTATATATCTTTTAATTATATGGTTAGGAGTGCAGGGGGTCTTCAAGCCTTCTTGAGTCTACTTCTGTTTTTTTTCTACTCAAGGTTTTATTGCTGTCTGTGTCTTAAGTTGAATTAAAGTGTTTTTCACCTATCTATCCTCAGGACACAGAAGGAAAAAAGAATAAATCTGTCTGTGAACATTTTGATTATTTCAGATACATTACCTATAATGCAGGGCCGGTGTCTGCAGGGTGCCAGATGTTGTGGTCATTTGTATCTGGCATGAATATAAACCGTTTTTCCTGGAGTTCCACATTAACTCTCACCCACTCGGGTGTGAAAATTTTTTTAAAAAACTGCTTGTCCAGGGACTAAATTGGTGTCCCAATCAACTTGTCCCTCAGGACAATCTACTTGGCTGATAAAACAAAACAAAAAAAATTCTAACCAAAACCGTATTTAAATCTTTGCTTTAATGTCTGAGGCTTTTAAAAACAGAAGGGGCTTTATGGTGACTTAAACATTTAATATTTTTAACTTTACGCTGTTTATCTCCTCCTCCCCTCCCTGCCTGTCTCCAGCACCGCACCCGGGAACTCGTAGGAAGGAGAGACCTTGCAGTGTAATGAGCACTGATTGGGTACAAGTCAGGAAAGGGGAGTGTCTGTATTATCCTTTATCCCTTTTGCTGCCAAAGCTGTTTTTTGTGTTTTTTGCACACATTTAAAAAATCATTTAAGGCCTGAAGATTACACAACTCCAAAACATTTATGTATTTTCTGAAATCCGAGACCCCTTAAAGAATAAAATAGCGGTAGTTAAAATTTTTTGTCACACGATATTGTCACAAAGGTGTAGGAAACCCATAGTTCAGTAAAAAAAAATACCAGTTAATTTTAGGGCACAAAAACCAATAAATTATCCAATTTTTTGTATAAAATATAAAAGACAAGGTTGCATCGAGTAAATGGATATCCAACATGTCAAACCTTAAATTTTGTGTTCACTCATGAAATGGTAACAAACTTTAGTACCCTATATTTTCTATAGGTGATGCTTTTAAAGCCCCTTACAGGTCATCAGGTTTGCGTTCCTGAGGTGGTCTGGTGCTAGAATTATTGCTCTTATTCTGGCATGTGCATCAATATGTAACTGTATCACAATCAACGATGTCATGAGTAGGCGCCCCAGTGCGTTTTTATGTTTGTGTTTGTGTGTACATATGTTGTGGTGGGGGCCTTGAAAATTTTATTGGGGGGGGGGGGGGTTATATGACTCGGTGTAACTTTTTTTTTTTTTTTTTTTTTTTTTTTTTATGTCCCCTATGTGATGATTTTTGGTGACAGGTTCTTTTTTTTTTTTTTTTTTTTTTTTTTTTTTTTTTTTGAGGCCCTGCATGTCTCCCCTGTACTACACTGGATGTAATGCAGTGCACATTGCACGGTATTACATTCTTTCCCGACATCGATGTCCGGGAACCTGTCAACAGGCTCTGGGGCTGTTGGCTTAGTGTATGTCTTTCAGATCATGTTTTATATAAAAAAAAAAGGGTGGGGGGGACTTACCCTTTAATTGCTTAGGCCAAGATTGATGCTGTGCCTTAATAAACTGGTCAAACCATTTTGTGCAGTACATTGAATGTTTTCTGAACATGTATGTAACCTTATCCTCTTCCTGAGAGCCCTGCATGTTGATATCCTGTATATAGGACAGCCAAAGTAGAAGTATGTGTGGTGTTTGTTTGTTTTTTTTTTTTGTTTTTTTTTCTTCTTCCTTTTTAAGCAATTTTTCTTTTGTCTTTATCTTACCACTTGTGCTTAGGCTCCATGCGCACTGCACGTTTTAATAATGCTGTTAACTTTAGCTGTGTAAAGTCACATTAAAAACTTGTGGTTTTCCGGGTTTTTTAACGTTTTTGTATTCGTGTTTAGTGGCGTTTTGCCGCTTTTTTTTTTTTGTCAAAAGTCCAAAAACGCTGGTTTGCCGCGTTTTTCAGCGTTGGAGCATTTTTACAGCTTAAAAACTCCTCTAGAAACCCACTAGTTCTGGGGGTTTTTTTTTTCTAGCCAAAAAACACTGATTAGTCTTTGTGCGCATGGACACATAGGTTAACATGCTGGGGAGTTTACTGGCTGTAGAAAAAAAAAATGTCAAAAGCCAAAAACAGCCGCAGTAAAAACGTCCTGTGTGCAGGAAGACTTATATTTTTGTGTACTTGTTTTGTAAACATTTGTTAAAGCGTTAAATTCAGAATGCAAAAAAAATTGGTTCGAGTTGTTTTGCTCATTTCTAGTTTTACTTTGGATTTTGTTCTGCGCAGCAAAAAAAATATGGCAGAAATCTGTCTACTATAGCCAACATCTTTGTTATTTATTTATTCTGTTATTTTCTTCTTTAGAAGGTAAAGCTGTTAGTAGTCTTCTCCCTGTTGCTGAATCTGAAGTAGTCATTTTCACTGCGGTGTATATAATATCTTAACTTTTTATTGCATGTGCACGTCCTACATATATTTTACAATTGACTTTACAGGTCATTTCACATCTGAGGATGACCTGAATCTTCTGATCGCAAAGAACACACGACTGGAGATTTATGTGGTCACACCAGAGGGGCTGCGACCTGTGAAAGAGGTTGGGATGTATGGCAAGATTGCAGTCATGGAGCTTTTCAGACCCAAGGTAACCTTCTTTTTTTTTCTTTTCTTTTTTTATTTCATTGCTGACTTTTTGATGTCTAATGATGTGGAAAGTGTTGATTATTTTCAAAGGTTTGTAAAGTAATTCTACATTGAGGATATATGGAGGCTGACATTACTAACCTCTCCTGAAAATGACAGGTTCTCAGCTGCCACACGGATGTGCTTTCTGATTCGCTGACCTGTATGTAGATCAGGTGTTCTGTCTGCGCTCTGACTTTTCTTGCCTACTTGATCTAGATTGGAGATTTAGAAACAAGGCCTTGTATAGCCAGACAGCTAGCATTTTCAGAAGGATGTTAGAAGTAGCCACAATTCTACTTTCATTGCAGGTATTTGTTGACAGTTTTCATGTTGGAATGTTTCATGGGAATATCAAAGCTACTGCTCTTGTATTTCCTGACATTTACCGAGATTTTCCTTTTTTACTTTTACTCCTGTTGAAAATGTTTCAGCAGACAGGAAGTGAGAGAAAATCTGCAACAGGGACACAGAAAGTTATACAAATGCGTGTGTGTCCCCTTCTCCTCCACTAAAAAATGTTTTGTTTCTGTCTGTGTTGCTGTTAAAGATTTTTCCTCACTTTCAGTCTGACTCCTGTTTGCCATTGTTAACAGGATAGGATGTGAGAGGAAATCTTTCTGACTGAGACCTGGATAGCAGTATTGTGACAGACCCTACTGGGACAGGGTCTTTTGGAGGGGGCTGTAGGCTAGCCTCTTGCCTACTTGCTATGGGCCCTGGTGTTTGAGGGGCCTTTATTCTTTGGGAGGTTCAGATTCCGGTCCATGTCTCCCGAAAAACAGACTGAGAACTGGAGGACTCCGATACAAATTTGGGGTCTTTGTGCCCAAACCAGCATTAACTGCTTCAACCCTCTCCTGGACTCAGAGCAGATGTTCATATAATCAGCTAGAAACAACCTGATGCTGAGGTCACCTGCTGTGATCTGTTTATAAAGGTGTTGTGTTTACTGTTGTGTCTTTCTCGCGTTAAGTGACTTATTGTTTGTCAGCTAATCCTCCTGGAGGTTCCTACAAGATGGGATTAGTCTGGTGTCAACTTTACCTCATTACCTAATCATTGTGGGATGTTTATCCCAATGTGTAGAATTTGTTTTTGTTGTTCATGTGGGGACTGCCCCTATTTAAGTGTATAAAAACCTGTATTTCTGTTCAATAAAGGAGTTCCTGTTTGCACTTAAGCTAGTGTCGTCTAGTTCTTGTGTGCAATTCCCAGTTATAATACATCAGGGTGCCAGGCGGTCCATCACAATAATAAACCTGACGTGGTTTCTAGCCGGTCCACTTTATCAAAGAAAAAAACCCACAAATTGCTCTTAAGGGTAATTTGCTTTTCCCGTACAGTGTCTTGAAAAAGTATTCATACCCCTTGAATTTTTCCACATTTTTGTTACAACCAAAAACATAAATGTATATTATTGGGATTTTATGTGATAGACCAACACAAAGTGGCACATAATTGTGAAATGGAAGGAAAATTATAAATGGTTTTCAAAAGTTTTTACAAATATGTGAAAAGTGTAGCGTGCATTTGTATTCAGCCCCCCTGAGTGAATACTTTTGTAGAACCACCTTTCGCTGCAATTATAGCTGCACGTCTTTTTGGGGATGTCTCTACCAGCTTTGCATGTCTAGAAAGTGAAATTTTTGCCCAGTCTTCTTCTTTGCACAATGAAACAAGCTCTGTCAGATTGGATGGAGAGCGTCTGTGAACAGCATTATTCAAGTCTTGCAACAGATTCTCTATTGGATTTAGGTCTGGACTTTGGGACATTTTAACACATGAATATGTTTTTGATCTAAACCATTCCATTGTAGCTCTGGCTGTATGTTAAGGGTCGTTGTCCTGCTGGAAGGTGAACCTCCTCCCCAGTCACAAGTCTTTTTGAAGACTCTTACAATTTTTCTTCTAAAATTGCCCTGTTTTTGGCTCCATCCATCTTCCTATCAACTCTGACCAGCTTCCCAGTGCAGTGTTAGTTTTACACCACACAGTGTTTTGCTTTTAAGCCAAAAAGTCAAGTTAAATCATCTGACCAGAGCACCTTCTTCCACATGTTTGTGTCCCCCAAATGGCTTCTCACAAACTGCAAATGGGACTTCCTATGGCTTTATTTCAACAATGGCTTTCTCCTTGCCACTCTTCCATAAAGGCCAGCTTTGTGGAGTGCACGACTAATAGTTACCCTGTGGACAGATTCTCCCACCTGAGCTGTGGATCTCTGCAACTCCTCCAGGGCTACCATGGGCCTCTTGGCTGCTTTTCTGATGAATGCTGTCCTTTTTCCGGCCTGTTAGTTTAGGTGGACGGCCATGTCTTGGTAGGTTTGCAGTTGTGCCATACTCTTTCCTATTTCAGGATGATGGATTGGACAGTGCTCCGTGAGATGTTCAAAGCTTGGGATAATTTTTTTTATGACCTAACCCTGCTTTAAACTGCTCCACAACTTTGTCCATGACCTGACTGGTGTGTTCCTTGGCCTTCATGATGCTGTTTGTTCACGAATGTTCTCTAGCAAACCTCACAGAACAGCTGTATTTATACTGAGATTAAATTACACACAAGTGGACTCTATTTACTAATTAGGTGACTTCTGAAGGCAATTGGTTCCACTAGATTTTAGGTAGGGGTATCGGACTAAAGGCATCTGAATACAAATGCACGCCATACTTTTCAGATATTTATTTGTAAAAAAATATATGAAGAAGAAAAACACCGTTCAGAGTCCCCACTTTTTTTTTTTTTTTTTTTTTTCTTTTTTTTTTTTTTAAGAAGTGGCCAGAAACCATGCAGGGTGCCAAACAGCTGCATCTAAAAACTGCTGAGGCTCTTGGCCACCATGCTGAGCTTCAGATATGGAGAAGTGAATGGCTGTAAGCCAGAACTCTGGAGATTGCTGCAAAAAGCTTGGGTCTGCCTGACGTATGCAGGGCGTATGCCTAGGAGCCAGCAGCTGAGTCATTATCCCCTGTACACCCAGTCTCCTGCAAATACCTTAGTCTGGGACCCTGACTGGCTCCCTCCCTAGTGAGTTGCAACAGATGGGTTCAGCTAAAAGGGAGCCACTGAAGCAAAGCCCACAGAAACCCCCACCTTAGGGTCCATGGCAGAACTTTGTTTTTGCCTCTGGGATAGACAGGAAATCAATAAAGGGGTGTTGATTATCCTAAATGTATTAACCTTTTTATGTCGATCATTTCACACTATGAATCACCTAGGAATCACACAGGAGTACATTCCAATGCAATTTACATGTGATTCATTTTGAATAGGCTCAAATCGCACCGCATCGCACCAAAGCAGTGCATGCGCTACTTATGGAAACACACTGCAATTGGATTGCATGGAGGTTTTTTTTACCATGCATTCCGGTGCAGGCAAAAGTACTGCGTTTTGCGACCTTCATTTGGGGGGGTGTTTAGCGTTTCACTGACACTGCAGATTGCATGGGCAGTGCGTTTTAAACACGGTGCGGGAAACACGCATGGATTGCAGGTTTCTGGCACTGTGTTCTGGTGTGAGCTGGGATGGGTAGTCTTTCTCAGATGTGTTCTCACGTAGTGGGAAGTTTTTGGGACATTTTGTGTATTCAAAAAAAAAAAAAGTCATAAAATGCATCCATAACATAACAGGAAAAGTTAAGACTAAAGAATGTCACATATGTACTAAATGTTCTAAATATTGGAAGCAGCTATTCATGTTCAATCTGTTTAATAAATATTTGTTTCTTGTCAAATATGCAGGGAGAAAGTAAGGACCTACTCTTTATACTGACAGCCAAGTACAATGCCTGTATCCTTGAATATAAACAAACTGGAGACAGTATTGACATCATTACCCGAGCACACGGCAATGTTCAGGTATTGTTGAAAGCTGAATGTGGACTTGATTACTTTTCTTTTCTTGGCCATTTATTTTCTGTTTTTTTTTTTTTGGCTCTAGGATCGCATCGGCCGGCCATCTGAAACAGGGATCATTGGCATAATTGACCCTGATTGCCGAATGATTGGTCTGCGCCTTTATGATGGTTTATTTAAAGTGATCCCTTTGGAGAGGGATAATAAGGAGTTAAAGGCTTTCAACATCCGATTGGAAGAGCTTCATGTTATTGATGTCAAGTTTCTCTATAGCTGTCAAGCTCCCACCATCTGCTTTGTGTACCAAGACCCACAGGGCCGTCACGTCAAGACTTATGAGGTCTCCCTCAGGGAAAAGGAGTTTAGCAAAGGTCCCTGGAAGCAGGAGAATGTTGAAGCTGAGGCATCTATGGTGATTGCAGGTAACTTGGAAGATTCCTGTGAATGATAAAGGTTGAAATTTGGCAAAGTCTGTTGACATCAAATTGCTTCTTTTTGAGAAGCATTGTGTCCATTTGAACTTTTAAAATAAATATAAAATAACCCTTTGAAGATGTTAAGGTTTTAAAAACATTTTGTTCTGTATGTGGGGAAGCCATATTTTCTTGTCTCTCTTGCTGATACTCTTATTTCACTAAAGTCTGTTTTAAACCAGACTCTACAGTCTCTGAAAATGTCAAATATTCACAACACATCTGGTAACCGGAGACCATTTCATATCTCTATAGACCAGTGGTCTCCAACTGTGACCGGGGGGGGGGGGGGCAGATATGGCCCTTTGCTTGCTTTTATCCGGGCCTTGGGGCACTATTCCATCCACTGACAAAAACAGTTGGGAATGTGTTCTCCCATTGACACCAACAATTGGGCATATGTCCTCCCAATAACAACAAAGGGGCACAATTCCTTCCAATGACAACAATGGGGCCCAATTCCCCCCAATGACAACTGGGCAAAATTCCTCTCACCGACGCCAACAATCGGGCATATGTCCTCCTAATGACACCAGTGATAGGGCACTATTCCTACCACTGACACCAACAATGGGGCATTGTTTACTCCCACTGACACCAGGATATTTTCTACTCCCACTGGCCTCAGTGTGGCGGCCCCCAAAAGACCATAATCTGGCCCTTTGTTTAAAAAGTTTAGAGAGCCCTTGTTTAGAGAGTCTTATACTCTTGGAGTGGAAATGTTCCATGCATGTGCAGAAGAAGCAGCTCCCAATTGGGAGACTTTGCAGCAGTGGCTGTTCAGTTCCCTCTGTACATCACAGTGACTTTCTGACAGTAGTGATGACAGGATAAGACCGTAACTGGCACTCTGTAACAACTGGTCTGATATGCCTTTGCAATACGAGTCCCTGTGAGGACCAGCATAGTACAATGCAGAATGATGCAAAAAGTATCATTTTCACTGTGAAAAGCATATTTTAAGTAATTCCCCAGCAAAAACTAGTCACAAATCATAAAATGTATGGAACTATACAGAGATTTATAGGTTTGAGACTTCATTTGGTCTTTGTGTACATTTAATCCACATGAAATGTGTTATTGAGTGGTCTTTTTTAAAAGCCAAAAGGATTATTTTAATTTTTTGGTGACATGCTGAATTTTCCAGATGCTTCTTATAGCTCTGGGGGACAATTGTGGCAAGATTGTTCCAGGAAAGAATGATGTGAACCTCCTGCGCTGCTAAAAAATATATTGTGAACTAACAGGGATGGTGTGAACCTCCCACACTACTAAACCCCCAAAAATTATATTCAATCAACTTAGGAGAGAAGCCGCCAACACTACATCAAATACCCATGATCAACAGAAATAAAAATCAAAATGTGGCGCTACTCATTAAAAATCAAAAAATTATTTTAAAATATATATAACAAATATAATACACCTTGTGAAGTAAAATATATATATAATAATAAGTGGTCATAGTGATCAAAAATATATAATAAACTAATATCAGAAAAAATATAATGTATAAATACTGTGTAGTAACAATAATAGTGACAATTTCTAACACATGAAAGCAATAGACAATAATAATAATTAGACTGTGATCAATCATGCAAATATGGTGCAAAAAATATCACACTAAAAACACTAATGAAAAATAAAAAATGTGTAGGCAAATGTCCAATGGGTGGGTGACACCACTACTGCAATTGCAAGCACACGTGATCATAAAGTGACTCCAGGTGCAGAAACTCCAACACACGGCTAGATTAGCCTCTCACCTCCAGGCTTCGACCCGTGAAGGTCAAAGCGTATTGTGGGATCAAATCCTCTCAGCATCTACTGATATCCACTGATCCACTTTCCCCATCCACAGATATCCTTCTCTTAGGGGTCGATAATCAAACAGTGGCTCCTCTTATGGGATATGGGTATGTGCCATAAAAAAAATAAACACAATCTCCCATAGTGTAGCAGGTAAATTTAATGGAAAAAACAAACCATAGACATATGGAGACGACTCACATCCGTCCTCAAAGATAACAGCTTTACAAGTTGTAAAGCTGTTATCTTTGAGGACGGATGTGAGTCGTCTCCATATGTCTATGGTTTGTTTTTTCCATTAAATTTACCTGCTACACTATGGGAGATTGTGTTTATTTTTTTATGGCACATACCCATATCCCATAAGAGGAGCCACTGTTTGATTATCGACCCCTAAGAGAAGGATATCTGTGGATGGGGAAAGTGGATCAGTGGATATCAGTAGATGCTGAGAGGATTTGAGGGTTTGATCCCACTATACGCTTTGACCTTCACGGGTCGAAGCCTGGAGGTGAGAGGCTAATCTAGCAGTGTGTTGGAGTTTCTGCACCTGGAGTCACTTTATGATCACGTGTGCTTGCAATTGCAGTAGTGGTGTCACCCACCCATTGGACATTTGCCTACACGTTTTTTATTTTTCATTAGTGTTTTTAGTGTGATATTTTTTGCACCATATTTGCATGATTGATCACAGTCTAATTATTGTCTATTGCTTTCATGTGTTAGAAATTGTCACTATTATTGTTACTACACAGTATTTATACATTATATTTTTTCTGATATTAGTTTATTATATATTTTTGATCACTATGACCACTTGATTATTATTATATATATATTTTACTTCACAAGGTGTATTATTATATTTGTTATATATATTTTAAAATAATTTTTTGATTTTTATGAGTAGCGCCACATTCTTTGATTTTTATTTCTATTGTTCCAGGAAAGTTTTCAAACCTACTCTTCTGATGCGACTTGTACAGATGTAAACAAAAAGATTTATACTCCCCTCCCACACTGTCTGTAACTTTGAAGGTCCACATACTTTTTTTTTTTTTTTTTTTTTTTGTGGTGTAGGTGTGATACACAAACGTTTGGCCATATAGTGTATTAAATACTTTTACTTTCTTATCCTTTTCACCTCCTGACCATCACAGGCCACAGCTTTTCATGCGTTGGCACATATATATTGTGAATACCATTTATTTTTGGAGTGTGATACCCATAGGAGTAGCATTTAATAAAATTTGAATTTCATAAGATTATAGAAGAATGGGAGAAAAATGTTTTATTAAATCATTCAGATTGTTTAGTGATGTTTTAACAGTAAACCATGATGTTTCTTTGTATATGTATATGTAGGAGATGACCTGTATATATTTTAGTTCCAGAGCCTTTTGGAGGTGCCATTATTATTGGACAAGAATCCATAACTTACCATAATGGAGAAAAATATTTGGCAATAGCACCCCCAATTATTAAGGTGAGTAGGTTTTTTGTTTTTTTTGTACCGTTGTCTGGGTTTGGGCCAACTCCCACTCTAAACTAACAATAGGAAATCTATTGAAAAGATGATGCTATATAAAATGTACCTAATGTTTTTTTCCTTTCCAGCAAAGCACAATTGTATGCCATAATCGTGTTGATGTCAACGGGTCAAGATATCTTCTTGGCGATATGGAAGGTCGTCTTTTCATGTTGCTGCTAGAGAAGGAGGAGCAGATGGATGGAAGTGTCACTTTAAAGGACCTAAGAGTGGAGCTTCTTGGAGAGGTGAAATCTCCTTTTTCTGTATTGTAATAAAATATTATCCTAATCAGTTTGTATGTGATAATATTGTACTTATCCTTTTACAGACCTCCATCGCTGAATGTCTCACTTACCTGGATAATGGAGTAGTGTTTGTGGGTTCTCGGCTTGGAGACTCCCAGCTAGTTAAGGTATGTGTATTTTGTACTTGTAGCTTGCACTTCATCATCGTTTAATTGATGTCTGTGAGGGTTTTGTCCTAATGTGACTGGATAGACTGTAGTCCCTACGTCCATAACTCCCTATGGTGCCTCTATACTGTTGTTTTTTTTCTTGTTTGTCTTCTTGTAATGATAAAAATGCAAACTTTGTATCTAAATTACTTTTCTTTTGTGCATAGCATTTTCTTGCTTTTGGTCTTGATGGCATACCCACACTCTAGTAACCCAGTAGGCAGAGGCATTCCTTCCCTAACACCTGTTTTCTCTCTTGTTCATTGAGGGACATTGGATTCAGAGACTATTATGTTATACTGCCCCACACTGGAGGATTTGGACACTGGCAAACATGTCTAGAAGTATCTAAAACCAATTAACATTACCCCACTCTTAGAGTATAAATCATTGTGTTAACTGTACATTTGCTGCCACCATAAAATACAAAAATTATAAATACAAACAAGAGTAAAGTTATACATACATACACTTAGGTAGCGCAATATAATATACTAACAAACCCAAATTAAACCAAAAAATAAATATCAATATCTGGACATTCATGAATTCACTAGTGCAATAACATTGATTACTGCACTAGTGAACACTGATTATTGCACTAGTGAATTTATGGACTTGTATCAATGATCAGTGATGAATAATTGATTGATTTTTTTTTTTTTTTTTTTTTTATGGATACTGGGGACAATTCACTAAAGGTTATCGCATGCTTTATGGCGGTCAGATGACCACATATCGCATGCGCTTCTGAAACTGTCAATTCACTATTGCTTGTGTGTGGTATTTACCGCAAACCACAAAAACGTTCGGTAAATACTACATTAAAAGGCATGGGGGTTCACCTCAAAATCCATACCAGACACGAAGGGCTTGGTATGGATGGGGGGTGACCTTATGCAGTTGTGTGTGTGTGTTTTTTTTTCTTTTTTCTTCTTAATTTTGTAATTGCCGGCAATTCTTTTTTACTTGCTGCTGTCAGCGGGGGAACCCACTGACAGCTCATGACTCATTACATTATCACATGTTTCCACTACTAAAATACCGCATGACGTAATTCATGCGGTAGTGTTTAGTATTGTTTTGTAGTGAATGCCAACTTTTTTTTTTTTTTTTTTATTATATAAATGCTGTGCTGATGCAGGTAGATACTGCTTTTGTAATTTGTCCTCTCTGATCTTTATTTTGTTTTGTTTTTTTTGGTATGTTTATATTGCACTACCTAAGAGTGTTGTAGGGGACTTGGACGCCTTAGGAATCTCGTCTCCTGTTCAGCATTCTAGAGCTACAGGTGATTTGGTTGTCCCTACAGTGCTGGACATCCAGTCTGGAGGGTCTTCCAATCAAGCACCAGTTGGACAACGCTATGGCTGTGGCATTAGTCAACAATCAGGGAGGAACCAATAAGCCTGCAGCAAGAGAGGTTGAAAGATTTATATCCTGGGCACAACTTCATTTTCAGGCCTTGCCTGCTGCTTACATCCTAGTTTTGGACAGTTAGTAGATGGACTTGCTGAACCAGCTGTGCCTAAACCTAAGGGAATGGGCCTACACCTGAAGGTGTGCAAGGACCTGTTAGGGACGATGAATGCGGACCTCCCATATTCCAGGTTCAACAACAAACTGGACAGGTTTGTCTCCAAATATAGAGATCCTGTGGAGGAAGCAGAGGATACTCTGGTGGCTTTGTGAGATCAGTACAGCCTGATCCAAGCTGTTTCTTCCCCAAAACACCTTCCTCATCTTCTCCTCCTGGTCAAGGTGGAGAGCGCTCCCGTGATCCTCATAGCAATGGAGTGGTCCAGTTAGATGTGGTACTCCAACCACGCTCTGTGGGCTCTTCCAGATTGTCTGAATCGTCTGTCTCAATTACCAGTTTACTATTCTGCTTCAAAGTGCTGGCTTTAATGGCATGGCTGTTGAAGCCCACGTCTTGAGGGGCAGGATCCTCTCCAAATCGGAAGTTTGTATAATGTAAAAGTTTCCCCCCACAATACTGTGTGATGTATCCTGACTTTTTTTGCAATTAGGCCTGGATCAGCAATTGGCCATGAGTGTCATCAATGGCCAGATCTTGTTCCAGAAACCACCAGCCTCCCATTCTTTAAAAACTCTGTACTTGGTACCTCTGATTTGGCTCCCCCTTGTGCCCACCTGTGACTCCATAGAATTTTAATTTAGTTAACTTGTCTCCTGGAGCTTCCAAGAGCCACCCGTTTGACCCTTACAAGGTTGCATACCTTGTCACCGTCAACTCAGAGAGGTTTGCCAGTTGACAGCTTTGTCCTGGTCTTGCAAAGGGGCTACGTTGTTGAGGCCTAGAGCGTTCTTCCTTCCCTCAGCCTTTCACCTCAACTGGGACATTGTACTTATGTCCCTCTGTCTGGCCCTTGTATATCAGAAGGAGATTTCCCTTCATTGTCTGGATGTAGTTCATGCTGTACGTGTCTAACTCACAGCCACTGCTTCCATTACAAAGACTGATCGTGGTAGATATTAGGGAAGACATATGTTTCCAAACCTTACAAAAACCCTTCCATATTCCCACCTCTGCAACCTACCGCTGTCTATGCGTCAGACATTACCTGTCACAAATATTTGAAGGATCAACGTTCCCTCGCTCCCTCACATACTTTGAGCTGAAGTGTTTAAGGAGCCCGCATTCCCCATGTTTAATATCCTTCCTGTACTCTTATCATAATAGCTAAACTATTTCCAAATGTCCCCTGCTATACATGAAAGTGGAGAGCAGACCTCAATATCACTTTTTGAGGAAGAGGATTGGGATCAATTCACATTGCCTTGCTGGAAGCGTGGTATAAAGTGCTCCTCCATTGATATTTTTTTTCTAGCTTTTCTTTCCTGGTTATTAATCTACCTGTATGTGAGGTTGCGCAGATATGGGTTCCCTGCCCAATAGCTCAGGTCTTTTTGGACCAAAGGATCTAATGGTCATTCCTTACCCTTAAACAACTAGCAGATAATCTGTGATGCACAGTTCAGGCTCTTACTTTGAGTACTTGGGGCGGCCAAGCAAGCTTTATTTAATGCCTGGAAAAAAAAAACAAATGTTTAGACAAAACCAAAAAAAGCTCTCTCAACCCATGATCTACAAAATAACTCAACAAGGTCTAGAAGAGTCAATGTTGGCGGACTAATTACCCAAATATGCAGAGATCTGGCTACTCTGGATTTCGATATTACAGTTCTAGAACCCTGGTGAAAATGGTGGAGACAGGCCCTCCTTTTTACCTACCCTGCTCTTGGAAATTCTAATAGTCTACAAATCATGTGTCCTTCAATGAGCAGAGAGTTTTTCTTTTTTTTTTTTTTTTTTTGTGTACCATCTAAGTACCCCTCAGTGGAATTCGAGGGGCATGGGCCCTGCCTCTCTGTTTTGCCACTGTCCAAATCCTCCTTTTAGGGGACAGTGTAGCCCAATAGTCTCTAAATCATTTGCGTCTCGACGAGCTTCAAGAAAAATCCAGTTTTATTGCTCAAAGATTTGCATGTTGCTATGTTTTTGGGTTCCTTGTAAATGGCCGGCTTAGGTTTATAAATTTGTTGACAAGGACTCCTTCTTACCGGGGGGGGGGGGGGGGGGGGGGGGGGGTCTGGTGTGCTTTTTGTTAGGTTAATAAAGCTCAACCTAAAATAGATATTTGTAAATTGTTTTTATCTGCAAAATAGCAAAATACTTTGGCATAGTTTTCAGCCAATGTTTTGTGTCTTCTCTATAGCTAACTGCAGACAGTAATGAGCAGGGCTCTTATGTTGTGGCAATGGAGACTTTCACTAACCTTGGCCCAATTGTGGACATGTGTGTAGTGGATCTTGAAAGACAGGGACAAGGACAGGTGAGATTGTCTCCTAATTCTTCATGTCCTTTTTTTTTTTTTTTTTATGTCTGACCTTGTGGCTAAATCACTGTATTTTATTATTCTATCTGCAGCTTGTAACTTGCTCTGGAGCTTTCAAGGAAGGTTCGCTACGAATCATCAGAAATGGTATTGGCATTCATGAGCATGCCAGCATCGACTTGCCAGGGATCAAAGGTGCTGATGAACCTGCGGGCAAATTAGTTTAGTCTTGGCTTTTGGCACACATTAACTGGATCTGAACATTGATTTTGTATAGATTTCATTTGATGTGTTTTGGATTGCAATCTGTTTTCTCTCCTTTTTATCAGGTCTGTGGCCTCTCAGAGTTGCGCCAATCGTGAAACAGATGACACATTGGTTCTTTTCTTTTGTTGGACAGACCAGGTGAGCTGTGAATTGAGAATTGTTCTCCATATAGCCTATACTCACTATTACAAGACTAAACACTGACTTTTTTTTGTAGAGTTTTGACCTTGTCTGGAGAAGAGGTGGAAGAGACAGATCTTGCTGGTTTTGTTGACGATCAGCAAACCTTTTTTTGTGGCAATGTGGCACATCAGCAGCTCATTCAGGTGGGAGAATCTCCATTCTTCTTTTGATATTATATTAACTTTTTGTGAATCCGCTTGTGCTTTGTAACACTCCTGTTTTTACCTATACAGATAACATCAGCATCAGTACGTCTGGTGTCTCAAGACCCCCAAAGCTTAGTTAGTGAGTGGAAAGAGCCCCAGGGTCGTAAAGTCAGTGTCTGTTCCTGCAATAGCCGACAAGTTCTACTTGCTGTGGGAAGAGTCCTTTACTATCTAGAAATCCACCCTGGAGAGCTTAGACAGATGAGGTGTGTGTCAGTATAATTGGTAATTCTGTTTACCCTCTTTTCTTCTCTCCATGCTTCTTTTTATCAACTTTACTCTCTTACCCCTTCATCTTAAATTTTATACTGATGCATTTTTATTACACACTTTTTACTTCATAGCTGTACTGAAATGGAACATGAAGTTGCCTGTTTAGATGTGACCCCACTGAATGGTAATGACACACTGTCCTCACTTTGTGCTATTGGCCTCTGGACTGACATCTCTGCCCGAATCCTAAGTCTGCCAGATTTTCAGTTGCTGCACAAGGAGATGCTGGGGGGTGGTAAGACAAACTGACCTTCATATAGTTGAAATATTAGTGTTGAAATATTAGTGTTAATCATCTGTTTACTACGCAATAAAACATACAATATTTTCTGCTACTATCATTTTAGAAAGTACCGTATTTTTCGCTCCATAAGACGCACCTAGGTTTTAGAGGCAGAAAACAGGAAAAAAAAATTCTGAACTAATGGACTGCAGACATAGTACAGGAGATGACCAGAGACTGCGGCCACAGTACAGGAGATGACCAGAGACTGCGGCCACAGTACAGGAGATGACCAGAGACTGCGGACACAGTACAGGAGATGACCAGAGACTGCGGACACAGTACAGGAGATGACCAGAGACTGCGGACACAGTGCAGGAGATGACCAGAGACTGCGGACACAGTGCAGGGGATTGACCAGAGACTGCGGACACAGTGCAGGGGATGACCAGAGACTGCGGACAGCACAGGGATGACCAGAGACTGCGGACAGCACAGGGATGACCAGAGACTGCGGACAGCACAGGGATGACCAGAGACTGCGGACAGCACAGGGATGACCAGAGACTGCGGACAGCACAGGGGGGATGACCAGAGACTGCGGACAGCACAGGGATGACCAGAGACTGCGGACAGCACAGGGATGACCAGAGACTGCGGACAGCACAGGGATGACCAGAGACTGCGGACAGCACAGGGATGACCAGAGACTGCGGACAGCACAGGGATGACCAGAGACTGCGGACAGCACAGGGATGACCAGAGACTGCGGACAGCACAGGGATGACCAGAGACTGCGGACAGCACAGGGGATGACTGCTGACCTTTGGGGAGGGGGGGGGGAGCGGGTACCTGAATTTGACAGATACCCGCTCCCACTTCCGCGGAGTTGTTCTTTCATCTTACCTGTTCCTCTATCCAGCCGCGCGCTGTCTTCCCGGCTTCTGTAATGGCGCTCGGCATGACAGCCGGGTGCCCAGTGCGCATGAGCGAGAAGCACTTGCGCTTTGTGATTGGTCCGGCGGCTTCTGGGATCTGTCATGTGTCCCAGGTGCCGCCTTACCATTCACAAAAAGCACCGCTTCCTGCGCATGCGCACTTGGCACCCGGCTGTCATGCCCACACTACAGAAGCCGGGAAGACCGCGCCGCTGGATAGAGGAATGGGTAAGATGAAAGAACAACTCCACGGAAGTGGGATCGGGTATCTGTCAAATTCAGGTACCTGCTCCCCCCCCCTCCCCAAAGGTCAGCAGTCATCTCTATAAGGTCCCGCTGTAGAGCTGAGCGGCCGGCCCGGTATTCTGACACGGCGGTAGTGGAAATACCGGACCGGCCGCTCCATATTCGCTCCATAAGACACACTGACATTTCCCCCCTTTTTTGGGGGGAAAAAAGTGCGTCTTATGGTGTATGAAAAATACGGTATATCGTTATTGATGCTAAAAATAACTGTGCAGTGTTTCACTGTTGTGCTCAGTACACAAAAATTAACATTTTTGTATTCTCTTTTTTACAGAGATTATTCCAAGGTCAATTCTTATGACTTCATTTGAGAACAGTCACTACTTGCTGTGTGCACTGGGTGATGGTGCTCTGTTCTATTTCAGCCTCAACACAGAGTCAGGTAAGCAGAGTGATTTATGTAGCTATGTACACCAGCGTGCCGTCATGCTGCCTCTGTTCTTAAGTATGAGTCGGAGGTTTGTGACTCGGGGACTGCCTTCTAGTTGTTCAACTGAGTGGAAAAAAAAGTGTAAAAATAAGGTAGTGTTTCTTTTATACATCAGTTCATTTTGGGATGTCTGAGATCAGGTTTCATTTCATGATTTTGTACTAAAATACTGATTTTAAACGTTTACTCTTATAAAAAAAAAAAAAGAGACTCCTTTTTCAAATCGCCATATGGTTTTAGTATTCAAGTATTGTTGTTTTCACTGCACTAGTAAAAACTGTGCCACTAAATACATGCTAATAAGAAGGGATCATAGATTTCCACTGGCTCATTTGAGGATCTTTGCTAAAAATATAGATGTTTGTACCAAAAAAGTGTCTTTAGCATGCATGTGGCCTTTAGTTAAAGTAATTTCTTTCTTTGTTTCAGGTCTTTTGAGCGACAGAAAAAAGGTCACATTGGGAACACAGCCCACAGTGTTAAGGACATTCCGTTCTCTGTCCACAACAAATGTGTTTGCTTGTTCTGATCGGCCGACTGTCATCTACAGCAGCAACCATAAACTTGTTTTCTCCAATGTTAACCTGAAGGAAGTCAACTATATGTGCCCCTTAAACTCTGAGGGCTATCCTGATAGGTAAATGTTTTCCGTTAATATAACAGTGATGGGACAATTTGTGATGAAAGCAACTGTGATACCTTGTGACCTACACTCGGCATTGGAATATTTTGGTTCTAATTGCTGTTAGTCTTAAAGTGTATCTCTAGCTTTTTTTTTTTTTTTTTTTTATATATGAGGAAGGCTTGAGTCCTTTGTTAAAGTGATACTAAAGCTTTGTGTTTTTTCAAATAGCAAACATATCATACTTACGCTCTGTTCAGTAGTTTTGCACAGAGCAGGCTCGATCCTTTACTTTTCGGGTCCCCGCCAGCGCTCCTGGCTCCTCCCCCTCAAGCAGTGCCCCAGGGAAACCTAAAATCAGAAAAGTGTCAGTGCTAATCCAGAAAAATACTAAATAGATATACCAAAATCCTAAAGTGCTGTAAACAAAAATTGCAGAGCTTAAAACAATTCAAAAGTGTAGTGTACCCACATATACGAATATGGATTCAATAATGTGCAAAAATATAAACAAACATATATAAACCTAAAAGTCCAACAGTGCTTTGAGTAATGTAGACTAAGAGGAAGATAGTATGATGAACCACACGTGTAGTACCACTGTCCTCTATAAGCAGTCTTCACCCGGTGATCCAAGACAATCAAAAGTTCCACCAACGGCTGAAAACAAAACTCACCAAAAGATGTTACTGTCTAATTATAGAACAGCAATACACGCCTGTATAATGATTCACTCCCAGGATGCGACCCTCTAATATATCCGGAAACTTCATTCCACCACTAACAAAAACTTCTCATAGTGGTAGTTATAAGGGGCCGAAAGATGCTAGGAATGGCGGCATGACCTCCAGCAATAGCGCCACAACCCAACGCTGCTTCGCACAATAGCGCATCCTCAGGGGTTACTACATTTGAGAAGTTTTTGTTGATGGTTTTTGGATGATTTAAGTGCATATACTGACATCTGGTGGAACGTGATTTGTTTCCTAATATATTGGAGAATTGCATCCCGGGAGTGAATTATGTACAGGCGTGTATGAATCCATATTTGTATATGTGGGTACAGTACACTGTTGAATAGTTTAAACCGCTGCAATTTTTGTCGCCCCCCCCCCCCCCACACACACACACACATGGCACAGCTGCTTGCTTGCCCCTGAGCCGCTGCTCTATCGGTCCAAAATAGACATAGAGCTGCAGGCCGGACCCGTCCCCCGCTCTCTCCTCTTTGGCTCACTGGGCTGTGATTGGCATTGGCCAGTGGGCTCACGCTGCTGTCTTAGCCAATGAGCTGGAAGCGTCCCCAGACAGCAGAGGTTGTCAAAAGTCGCTGGGTTGGAGGGGGCTTATGTAGGGATTGTGGGGGAGGGCGGCTGCATACAGAAGATTATTTTCTTTTTTTTTTAACCTTCATGCATAGACTACATGAAGGTAAAAATCCTTGAGCTTTTAGAACCACTTTTTAGTTTTTATTGTAGCCGGTGTCTCCTTGCGGGGGGGGGGGGGGGGGGGTTACTACTGACCACTGCCACTGAGAACGAAAGTGGGGGGGAAATATAAAATTTTAGGATTATCCCCAGAATAAGTGGTAGTAAGCGGAAATTTCAACCGTGGGCACCTGGACTTGTGATGTATGAAATGAAGGATGTTTTCCTCAGTGATACATAGACGGACAGTAAAATCTGTTGATTTTAACCTTTTATTCCTACTCTGTCCAAAACAAACAAAAACATTGTGGCTGTAAATACACTTTAAAACTGTGTCAAAACATGGTATACATTTATTTTTCAACCTTTTTTGAGGGGGTTCATCCTTCTTGTCAAAACCTATACTAAATAACTGAGTGTTATCATGTATTCATAGAAAGGAAATCACCGTTAAATCTAACTCTGTATTTGGCTGCTTTCTATTCTTTGCAGTTTGGCCCTAGCTAATAATAGCACTCTGACCATTGGAACCATTGATGAAATCCAGAAACTGCACATCAGAACTGTGCCACTCTATGAATCTCCCAGGTAGGTCTGTAGAAGAGATACTTAAGAAGTTGTTACATGTAATGGTTATTCTTGCTGTAAGGGTTTTCTCATGCTTGTAGGAAAATTTGCTATCAGGAGGTGTCTCAGTGTTTTGGCGTTTTGTCCAGTAGAACAGAGGTTCAGGATGCTAGTGGCGGCAGCTCTCCTCTACGGCCAAGCGCAAGCACTCAGGTGAAATTATGTTCTTTTGTCATTTTATATACTGGGCAGAATAGCCTTCGGCAGACAGCCCATGATGTGGATGAGTGTGGAGCAGTTGTCCAACACTTATATTTGTTCAATGTGTAAAGGAATCTGGATGCTATTATCTTTATGATATAAAGACCCCTATACTGAACGGTGGAAGTGTATAGCTGCTAAAAAGGTTAGGATAAGTTACTACCAAACATTTTGTTTAGGCATATTTGATTGTGGTGTTATTCAAGGTTGCTAGAAGACTTCATTCAGTGGACAGTGTATGTAAAATGTTATTGTGCATAGTACTGCAGCCCATAGAAACCAACTGCAATTAACTGACTTTACAAGCATTTTCAGGAGGTAGTCAGCAGGGCAGTCTACATGCTCCTTTCCGTACAGGTTTCTATAATTACAATAATAATCTGTAAAGGCTTATTCCCTGTAATTACTAAAGAGAATGAATAGTAGTTTTGTATCTTTGGTTTTTGTAGTTTGAGTTGAAACAACCAATATGTTTTTTAATATGCTGTATATTTTGTAGTTCGATCAGTCCTTTCATATGAATAAGAGCATATTAACAGTCTGCAGTTGCCACTCTGAGGCTTCTTTTTTGTTACATGTATTTTTAATATAGTGCAGTCAATTTAAGCATGTACATTCACATCAGTCCCTGCCCTCAAGAGATTTACAATCTAAGGTCCATATTTTGCAAGCACATATACATGCACACATGCCAGGGTTAGTTGCCTACCAGCGTATCTTTGGAGTGTGGGATGAAACATGAGTAGCCTATGGAAACCCACAATGCACAGGGACGGCATGCAAACTTTGCAGGTAGTGTCCCTATTGGGATGTAAAGAGAATTCCAGTAGTGCAAGGCAGTTCTAACCACCCACTTTTGTCTTTTTACTGCATGTTGAAAAAAAGTGGTAGCGTTTGGTAGTAGAAGGTGAAATTTGCATCCAATTAAATGACTTATTGCTGTGTCTCATCACTTATTAAAGGGATCAATTAAAAGTTTCAGGGACTCCTTCATGAAAGAGATGATTACTTGTGCCTTTTTAGATAAGTGCCCCAGAAATCAGTTGTCATTTTATAAAATGTTAATCTGTAAAACAAAGAATGCAGGTATAAAGTGAAAAAAACAGATTTCAGACATAGGACTTTTAACATTTTATGAGCATTTGTGAAGTCAGGCACTGATGTTGTACAAAAACACATGGCTTGCTTTTGGCATTGCAATTCATCTCAAAAGTGTTCAGTAGGGTTGAGGTCAGGTGTCTGTGCAGGCCACCCGAGTTCTTCCAAAATCATCACACCATGTCTTTATTGACCTGGTTTTGTAAATAGGGGCACAGAAAAGGCCTTCTCCAGATTTGCTTAAAGGTTGGAATTGCACAATTTTTCTAAAATGTATTGGCTTGCTGTTGCACTAACAGTACCCTTCAATGGAAACGCTTGAACTTAAACTGTAGCTAAAGTTCGTTTGAGTGGAGAGGGGTTTGATCATCTTTCTGATTTTTTTTTTTCTTGCTGTCTGGATCCCCTCTAGGGAGCTCACTTTTTTTGTCCTGTTTTACCCTTTTAACCAAGAGCGAAAGACGATCCCAAATTTTGGGATGTCAGAACAGGAATAGAAGGGAAATCTTCTATTTGGGACACTGCTTCTGATGACATCCCAAAGTTTCACTCATTTTGGAGTGATTTTCTTTCACTTCCTGATTTTTGTTATTGGACAGAAAGTGAAGGGAATTCTCCCAACTTTGACACAGATTGCAAAAAAAAAAAAACCAGGCGGGTAAGATACTTTCTTACTCTATACAAAAAAAAATTTGCCTTCAGTTCCACTTGAATAATTTGGAGTGTTCACATACTTTTGGCCATATATGTATGTGCATTGATCAATTGTCCACAAACATTTCATTGCATAATGTATTGCTTCCCATTTTCCCAAGGGAAAGGTGCTAGAACAGGCTGTCATTTTTATTATGAGATTTATATAAGCCCACTGATGTTTTTAGTTGCTGTGGTTTAAGAGCTCGGCTTTGAACATTTAAGCAGCCTTCACATGCCTGAGTCTTGAATCCCACAGGCACTGTCTTCCAGTGTGAGCAGCAGTAAGCTCTTTTCAGGAAGCACCTCTCCCCATGAAACCTCATTTGGAGAAGAAATTGAAGTTCACAATCTACTTATCATAGACCAGCACACTTTTGAAGGTAAAAATTTAGACATGACGTAGACTTACATAAAGTGGCATTAAGTAAAATGGAAAATCATGCTTTTGTTTTTCTTTTCTCTCTAGTCCTGCACACTCACCAGTTTCTGCAGAATGAATACGCCCTTAGCTTGGTGTCCTGTAAGCTGGGGAAGGATCCAAGCACTTACTTTATAGTGGGAACAGCCATGGTATATCCAGATGAGGCAGAACCAAAGCAAGGGAGGATTGTGGTTTTCCAATACAGCGATGGTAAGCAACAAAAAAAAAAGACTAGTATGTTTAACAATTGATATTCTAAGGTTAGGACTCAGATTCCAGAGAGATGTATGTTGCCCATTTCATTCCAGGTATGATTTTCTTGACACAGCTTTGAAAATCAAGACAAGCATAAAATTGGTTCTGAAGTCAATCACTTCTTTTCCTGTGTTTTTGACTTTTGAATCTCTGATCATAAAATTTGTGCTTTGTCCAGGGAAGCTGCAGACTGTTGCCGAGAAAGAAGTGAAAGGAGCTGTGTACTCGATGGTGGAGTTTAACGGGAAGCTGCTGGCCAGTATCAATAGCACGGTAATAATGAATAATGGGCATCTTGTGATGCTATGCAGTTAAAATTCTGATTACTGTTTGTATGGCAACAACATATTCTACAGCACTTTCAGTTTGGGAAGGGGTTTGTAAATATAAGTATTAAATCAGTTGTGGCAGAATGATAGTCATGCTCACATAATATTGTGGGGGAGGTGTTACAGGAGCCCTGAGAGTTTAGAGCTGCATATGTGCAAGAACCCTCTGGTACCGCTGTCGGGAAAGGGCATTGCTCATCTGGAAAGGAGAGTAGAGAAGAAGTGGAAGACTGAGGAGGAGAGCAGAGAAAGAGGACAAAGCTCACGGTAGCTAAATGTCGAAAAAAGATTTCAGTGCTGCTGACAGAAAATAAGTAGTGCTGTTCTTTGTTACATGCAGGTTGGAGAACATGTTATTTCTAAACTCTATTATATTTAGTATATTTAGAAAAAAAAAAAACCTTCACTGGGGGATGCAGATAAAAAAAAAAAAATTCTCCTCAATAGGTAAGACTACACCAAACTTGTGTATATTTTTAGTTCAATTAATTCTTCAAACATTTACATGGGGCACAGTGGACTTTTGAGGGTATCGGCTCTACCGCCTGTAGAGTTTGGACTCTAAACTAAAGCAGAAGGGTATTGCTCCTCCCCTTGTGGCCCTTACCCCTCTGCACACAAGCGGCAAGAGCTCAAGTTTAGCTTTTCAAGGGAACATTTAAACTGTTGGAAGTTGGAGGATGGTTGAATTGTAGAAAATGTATTCGATATATTCAGCATAAGCTTGGCTATAGAGAAGGTGATTCACTGCTTGGAGCAAACAGGTAAGTTATTAGCCAGAAACAGTTGTTTTGTGGTGTTGAAGGCTTTGTATGTAAGATGCAGAAGTTTATATTTTTTTGTGCATACAGTTGGCAGTAGTTGGTGTCAGTATTTTGAATGTCATCAACTGCCACCTTTTTACCTAGGTTCGCCTGTATGAGTGGACAGCAGAAAAAGAGCTGCGTACAGAATGTAACCACTACAACAATATCATGGCTTTGTATCTAAAAACCAAGGGTGATTTTATCCTGGTGGGAGACTTGATGCGTTCTGTGTTGTTGTTAGCTTACAAGCCGATGGAAGGAAACTTTGAAGAGGTAAGCAACTAGGTGTAACTATGCCCAAAAAATGTTAGAGGAGCAGTATAAATTGATGATTTAGCTATTCTGTTCATGTATATCTGACTATTCTGTGCTCCAACAGATTGCACGGGATTTTAATCCGAACTGGATGAGCGCAGTGGAGATCCTTGATGATGATAACTTCCTAGGAGCAGAGAACGCCTTTAATTTATTTGTATGCCAGAAAGACAGGTAATGAGAAATACTTATTCTGCAATAAGTGTAGTAGGGATCTGATTGTATATTATTATAGTAAATGTAGAGGCATAGCTATGCTAAGAGTAGGCCGACCGTGCAGCAACCATGACATTTGCAGGAAGGGCTGAATATGTCATATTGTTTGTGGACAATGTGAGTTACTAATAATGGCCATGTATGGTGCGACAAAACTGAACAGTCGATTTACGATACGGCAAAAGTATCAAATCGGTCATCAAACTTATAGAGAAACCTATGGCATGGAAAAGCGACAGATAATGGTTTCAGTTAACCTAAGTCGATCAGCTGTAGGGGGAAAAAAAAAAATCAGTCATACAGGACTGATCAAGGGCAGTTTCTGCTCCCTTGTGAATCACTTTCATCAATGCTCAACCCTGTTTTAATTTTTTTTTTTTCTTCACCACAACTGATTGATTTGAGTTGATCAAAACCATTACGATCTGTTGCTCATCATTTGACCATGACATTTTTGTCTTGCTTGATCCGTTGTCTATTTGATCATTTTCTCAAACTGGACAACGATCAGTTTTATTGCACTGTGTATGGCTATCATAAGGCCTTTTCCGCCATAGCCATTTTTAATAACTGATGTGCCCTGCCGTAGGCTGACTAATAACCCTTCAAGCCAACATAGGAGTGGGCTAAGGAGAACTATGTGAATGTCCTAAAGTGGCCCAGCCAAAGCTCTGACTTCAACCCTATTGAACAGCTCTGGAGAGGCGTCAAAATAGCTGTCCACTGATGGCCCCCATCCTACCTGACTGCGCTTGAGAGGATTCAAATAGAAGAATGGCAGAAAAATCCTCAATCCAGGTGCTCAAAGCTTTTCACTTCATACCCAAAAAGACTGGAGGCTGTAATTTTCTGCCAAATGTGCTTCAACAAAGTACACAGTAAAGGGTCTGCTTGCATATGTAAATATGATATTTTAAAATTCTGTTTTCACTTTGTCATTATGTGGTACTGAGTGTAGATTAAGTGTTAAGTTAGGTAAGTATTTTTAACTCCTAGCAACAGGTTGCTTTATCAAAATAGTCAAATTCTTTGAAGAAAGGAACAGGTAATCTATGCTGCAAAATCTTGAGCGCAGTACAGAATATTGGTGTGATCTAACTTGATAACATGACCACAAATTTAACAGTTTTGAGGGAGTTGTAAAGATTGCTTCTTCTATTTTTAGTGCTGCCACAACAGATGAAGAACGACAACATCTGCAGGAAGTTGGACTTTTTCATCTGGGAGAGTTTGTCAATGTCTTTTGTCATGGTTCACTGGTGATGCAGAATCTTGGAGAGACGACGTCTCCACCAACACAGGGTTCTGTACTTTTTGGAACTGTCAATGGAATGATCGGTTAGTCTAGTTTGCGGCTTCTCTTTTGTTTGCATGTATGGCTTAGTATGTCTATATTAATATTTCTTTTTGCCTATGTGTATCTCAGGTCTCGTGACATCGGTATCTGAAAGCTGGTACAATCTTCTGCTTGATGTTCAAAATAGGCTCAACAAAGTCATTAAGAGCGTAGGCAAAATAGAACACTCATTATATCCTTTTACAGAAAACCATATTCATATTACCATGCACATAGAAGAAAAATCAGTTTTTGTGTGTTTGGCTTTTTTTTTCCGCTTGAAGATAGTGATGACATTTCAGTATTTCTTAAAATTCCATGTTTTTGTTTTCTTTTTTTTTTTTAAGTTTTCTTTTAGCCCTGGGCCATTGGTAATCTTGCTATTGTGTTTAGGACAGGGTTGTTGAAGTTTTGGTGGCACTAAAAAAAGAGATGGTATAATGCATACTTCATTTTTTTTTTTTTTTTCTTTTATTAATACAATATACTTTTCTATTGTGTTGAACATTCTATCCAAATGGCTTAAAAATAGCATCATAATGACAGGTGTGACTATTTTTGTTTTAAACAAATGTCTTTAAATGTTAAAGTGATACTAAAGGTTAATTTTTTTTTTGGTACACTAACAAACATGTTATACTTGCTGTGTGCTGTGGTTTTGCAAAGAACAGTCTCGATCCTCCTCTTCTCCGGTCCCCCGCAGTCTCTCCTGGTTCTTCCTTTGTCGGGTGCCCCCATAGCATGTGTGTCCATTCACATGCGGAGCTGTGGATTGGCCCTGCCCACCTCTCCACTCATTGGCTGACTGGCTGTTATTGACCACAGCGGGAGCCAATGGCTCCCGCTTGCTGTCTCAGCCGATGAGGAGGCAGAGACCCGAGACAGCCAAGGCTGTTGTGCACATTGATGGATCGCAATGGGACTCAAGTAAGTATTGAGTAGCCTGTGGTGGCACTGCTGCACACAGGTTTACCTTCATGCATAGAATGCATGAAGGTAAAAAATCTTGAGCCTTTACAACCAGTTTTTAAGGCTTTTTAAATAAAGGATTGCAATAGTGTCCAAGGCAGGAGAATGATGTAGGAATCTGATGGTGGATCTTAAATCAATAGTTTTAAATACAGGTAATAGAACTGATACATTGGATCAGTACATAAAATCTGAAATGCAGCTAACAAAGATTAGTTAGCACGGTTATAGCCATGAACAAATTTTGTTGACACCCATTTTATGAAAAAATAACCCACAATTTTCTCTAACACCTTGAAAGTGACAAAAGTAATTGGCAATCATCATTGTTTATTCCATAGTTAATAAAAAACACACTTGGCTTTTTTGATTTACCAGGATATTTTAAATAAAAAGCAAATGACATAGACAAAAATTATGGGACCCCTAATATGATGTTGCACAACCTTTAAAGGAGAAGTATAGCCAAAGCTCTATTGGCTGCACTTCTCCTGTGGATCTCAGGAGTGCAGTTCGTTTTGCACTCCTGTGACCCATTTTCAGCTGACAGAGGACTGAAGTCCACTGTCAACTGCCGTCACTCAGCTGGTCCCAGCTGTGGAAAGATCCCAACTTCAAAGTCAGGATCCACCCCAGAGTCTGGTGCGGCACCCAGCTTAGCCTGAGCCAGCCGCTCCCTCCCCCTGCACAGCTCAGCTCTCCAGTGAGCTGGGGGGGATAACGGTGACTGACAGTCCTGCCATCAGCGGCCATGTGATCGCTGAGTTCTCACTCTTAGAGCCAGCAGGGGACAGATGTAGCATTGGACAGATTCTGCACCCACCTAAGTAAGTATAAATAGAAAAAAAAAGAAGCCCTTCTTCTTTTAAAGACTATTGCTGCAAACAAGATATTTTTGTAGCTCTCAGTGAGCCTTCTGTCCCTGGCAAGTAGTTTAGCCCAAGCAAATACTAAAGTGTAGCACTGCCTCAGTGTACAAAGTACTAAAAACATTAAAACAAGTATATCTGGCAAAAACCACACAGAGATAAAACCCTTTAAATTCTCACATATAACAGAAATGTACTAATAACTCAAACACAAATGTTTGTATGGTGAATAAATATATAAAAAATCCCTCCACCCAACTCGAACAGTACGTAAATAAATCTGATATGCAAATGTGTTACTAAATGCACAAAGCACACTAGTAAATACCTGACAGCCCCACTGTCCCAAAAAGTGCAATGCAATTTAAATAGGGTGAATGATTAAAATAAAAATGTGAATAGATAAGTTACTAAAGGCGATCTAGAATGCACAAAATAAATCAATGTGTGAAAAGTCCAATAATGGTCCAAAAAAATCCTTGTTCCGCACTTTTCACGAGTCAGTGAACACCAGTGAATCCAATACAGTACGTGCACTTTCCACCACATGCAATGTGCCCTCGCCTTGTTAATTGACCTATATAAAACAGGTCAACATGACCTCTCAACTTAAATGACCAGCTTGCCAGGATGGCCCACTAGATGAAGTAATATACGATACAATATGGATGCTCAGCATATGGAGCGGTATATGTCCCCTTTAAATCTTCCGCGATCCCGGGGGAGATATAAACTCGAGGAAAAAAGCCTCTCATAGTGCAATATTTTATTAAATATTGAACCCTCATATAGAAATGCATTTGCATTTAAAATAGAGTAGGCAGACTCCTATAGAATGTCAGAATACAAGGGAATACACATACGGTCCTTTGTGGACCGGAAATGTCACCAGCCTGTTTCGACGCGGTGCGTCACTACCATGTGACTTCCTCAGGTAAGCTTTTTTTGGACTATTATTGGACTTTTCACAGGTTGATTTTATTTGCATTGTGGATCGCCTTTAGTAATTTATTTATTGAATTGGTCACCCTATTTAAATTGCATTTTCCTTCAGCATTTTTTGGGGTAGTTGGGCTGTCAGGTGTTTACTAGTGTGCATTTAGTAACATCTTTACCACATCAGAGTTTTTATTTGCGTACTTTTCTGGAGTTGTGTGGGGGATTTGTTATACAGGGATGTTCAATCTTTATCGCCTGACGCCTGGGACATGTAGTTCCAGGCGCCGGGCAGGTAGTGCTTGTTTTTTTTTTTTTTTTTTTTTGTTTTTTTTTTTTTTTTTTTTAAACCTTTAGCCCAGCTGTAGGCATGTAGCAGGGCTCGCCTGTCTGGTGGAAGCGTTCGGACGGCAGTGCAGCCGCTGATTGCTTCCACAAAGTGCCAGCCTCCTCCTCTAACATCCTGCGTACCTCCGTCTTGCCCGCTATGTCTTCTAGGCTCCGCTTGCCCATCTGCGGGCCCAGGACCAGTTAAGCTGCTGCCAGTGTGTAGAGGGGATGGAGGAGAGCGGACACGTCTGCTCCCCTCTTCTGACCCAGAAGTGACGTTATGGCATCACTTCCGGGTCCCCATTGACATTTCTTGGCCATCGAGGCCAGGAAAGAATGTAATGCGGTGCCCATTTATTATCTTGAACAGACTGTTTCTATTGCGTGTTTGAAAGGTGCCTTCTTCAGATTGTATGCTTCAGATCTTTCCATAGAGGCCAAATAGGATTCAGATCAGAGATCATAGAAGGCATTTCTGAAGTCCCAAAGTTTTTTTTTTTTTTTTTTTTGTTTTTTTTAATTCCTTGCCCTTCTGGGATGCATTTAAGCTGCATGTTTTGGGTCATTATCCTGTTGAAAGACCTATGACCTGCAATTGAGCTTTCTGACACTGGGCAGCATGTTTTGCTCCAGAATTCTTTGATAATCTTGAGGTTTTGTTGTGCCCTGCACGGATTCAAGGTGCACCAAGTCAAATGGATAGCAAACTGCTTGGAGATGATCTTATAGCCTTCAGGGCTCATGTACACGGGGCGTTTGGAAAACTCTTTTGAACGATGGAAACCTCTGGAAAACGTAAGTTAAAAAGTGTCAGTTTTGCTGCGTTTGCATAATGCGTTTAGCCGCGTTTATGCATGTTTGCTTTTAGAAGCTTTTTAAAAGATAACCTCAGGAGACCTTCCCATGCCATTTTTTTTTTCCTTTTCTAATTTTGGCGTGGGGCTGCTTAGTGAATTGTGCCCTGGATATGGGCCTGTCAAAAAACGCTTCTGAACACAAATGCAGTTAGCCGCGTTTGCAAGCGTTTGGCATTTGAAACGCTGATAAAATCTACTCCTGAATGCAAGTTTGCTGCATTCAGAAAAACGACTGTAAACTCAGCTGCCTGTAAATGACATATTGTACATGGACACATAGGACTCCATTAGGGAGAGTTCAGAGGCTGCTGAAAAAAAACGCTGAACAGGTCCTGAACGTGAGTTTTTCAGCTGCAGTGTACATGAGCCCTTACCATTTATATGCTGGTCTTTAATTTTTTTATTTTTTTTTTTCTGATCTCCTCAGAAAAGTCTCTCCTTTTTGCTTTCTCTGGACCATGATCAGTGTGGTGCACATGACTATACTAAATAATAGTGACCATCTTTCTGCATTTAAATAGGCTAACTGAATAGTTGCAAGAGTGAAGATGTGTGATGCTGATTACACAAAACGGTCAGATTGAAATACACTGCTCACAAAAATTAAAGGAACACTTCGAAAACACATCAGATCTCAATGGGGAAAAATCTCATGCTGGATATCTATACTGATATGGACTGGGTAATGTGTTAGCAACGTAAGGATGCCCCATAATTTGATGGAAATGAATTCAGAGATTCCCGGAAAATCAAAGTGAAAAAATGATACAGCAGGCTAGTCCATTTTGCTGAAATTTCATTGCAGCAACTCAAAATGGTCCTCAGTAGTTTGTATGGCCCCCACGTGCTTGTATGCATACCTGACAACATCGGGGCATGCTCCTAATGAGATGATGGATGGTGTCCTGGGGTATTTCCTCCCAGATCTGGACCGGGACATCACTGAGCTCCTGGACAGTCTGAGGTGCAACCTGGCGGGTGTCGGATGAACCGAAACATGATATCCCAGAGATGTTCTTTTGGTTTTAGGTCAGGCGAGCGTGGGGGCCATTTAATGGTATTCCTTTACCCTCCAGGAACTGCCTGCATGCTCTCGCCACATGAGGCTGGGCATTGTTGTTAAATAAAACAAGATGAATGAGCTCGACTAGATAAGTTAGGCAAACTGGATAAGAAGCTGCCAGCATAAAAGGTATACCTCAGTAACAAAATTAAAATATTAGGTATGCTGCGCAGCATAACTAATATTTGAATTGTGCATTGTTGTGCACCAGGAGGAACCCAGGACCCACTGCACCAGCGTAGAGTCTGACAATGGGTCCAAGGATTTGATCTCGATACCAAATGGCAGTCAGGGTGCCATTGCCTAGCCAGTAGAGGTCTGTGTGTCCCTCCATGGATATGCCTCCCCAGGCCGTTACTGACCCACCACGGCTTCTCCAGACCCTTTCACATCTGTCACCTGTGCTCAGGGTGAACCTGCTCTCATCTGTGAAAAGCACAGGGTGCCAGTGGAGGACCTGCCAATTCTGGTGTTCAATGGCAAATGCCAATCTAGCTATATGGTGGCGGGCAGTGAGCACAGGGCCCTCATGAAGTCTGTTTGGCCAGAGACATTCACACCAGTGGCCTGCTGGAGGTAATTTTGTTGGGCTCTGGCAGTGTCACATAAATGCGTTTTTTTTTTTAGTTTTTTTTTTTTTTTTTTGCAGAAACGCACTACAGTTCATTGGTTTCCTATGGAATACATTCACATCTATGCTTTTTTTTTCCGTTTATTTATTTATTTTTTAAATCTGAGTTTTTGGAAATGGTCAGGGAATTTTGGTTCAGTAGACTTCAATGGAGACGATGCAGAAAGCGCATGTAGTGCATTTTTGACATGGTTCTTCATGCGTTTGACACGTTTTTGCATTTGCAATCTACGTAACCCCCTCGACAAACACCCCCCCCCCCCCCCCCCCGCAAAACAGACCAAGCACAAACTGCATTGGTGTGAACCAGACCTGAAATGCATTGAAACCGCTAAAAATACATGTTGCGTTTTTTTGATGCATTTTATGTTTTTAATTTTGACTCCAACAAGTTGGCCTATTAAAAAAAAAAATGCAAAGCACATTAAAAAAAGTGTCAGACATGTGTGCAAAAATGCAAAACGCACTGCAAAAAGGAAAAACCGCAAACTGCATTGGTGTGAACTAGGCCTGAAATGCATTGAAAATGCACACGTGTTGCATTTTTTGTGTTTTTGCGTTTTTAATCTTTCCAGCACCAAGTTGGCAAAAACATTCAAAAAAGACATAATATAAAAAAGAGAGGGGATACAAAGAAAAAAGTGAATAAACTCCTCACTGGTGAAACAGAATAAATGGGACTTTAAAAAACGCATTTGCAAAAAGCACTGCAAAACAGACAAAGCGCAAATAGCATTGGTGTGAACCAGGCCTGAAATGCATCAAAAAACGTAACACGTGTGCATTTTTAAAGCATTTTGCATTTTTTAATCTGCCCAGCAAGTTTAGCCAACAAGAAGAAAACTAATTTCAAAAACCGCAAAACACATCAAATAAAGTATCAAAAAAGTGTCTCAAACATGCGTGCAAAACTCATTGCAAAACCAAAAACCCAAACTGCATTGGTGTAAACCAGGCCTGAAATACATTGAAACCGCACACATGTTGCGTTTGTTATGTGTTTTTAATCTGCCCAGCAACAAGTTGGCAGAAAAAAAGTAAAAAATCACATTTGCAAAACGCAAACTGCATTGGTGTGAACCAGGCCTGAAATGTATTAAAAAACGCACATGTGTTGTGTTTTTTGTGTGTTTGAGTTACATGACCTATGAACTCACCCTAAACGTGAAATCGCTTGCTTTTTGCATCGTTATGATGTCATCAGGGGCGGGGACTAGAACAGTAAGAGCTGTGCAGTAGATGTAAAAGTGTCTCTGGGCAAAAGTGCAACTGCAGAATGCCTACTGTTTGTTTACCACTCACTTTTGTCATGTTTAAGAATGAGATTGCCTGAGTCTAGCTCTGCTTTAATTCGTTTGGCCTGATATAGTAAAATCAAAATATAGTATCTCTTTTTAGTGGATTCTCTGTAAGAATACATGCAAACATTACTTGCACTGATGACAGTGGCAGGTCATCTGCAAGAGTTTGAGGGGGGTGAGTTGAGATTGTAATATCTGGGAGCCTCATCCTATTCCGAGAAATTCCTGTGTTCTCCATTATTGGCTACCAGGTGCAACAGTTAGAAAATATGAAGAACGGGTTATGTGACTTCCTATTGAACGTATCTTGAAAAGGGTCATATATTCTCATCTTCTGGTGTAAACAAATTGCAGGTTTCTCATAATGCAGCAAAGCTCATTCATTCTTCTCTTTTTTGTTCATTTGTGAGACATTATCCTTAACTATTTATCACCTGGAGATCATTCCACACAGAAAGGAAAACTGAAGCTGCAACAGGATTTATAGATGGAGATCTGATTGAGAGCTTCCTGGACATCAGTAGGTCAAAGATGCAGGAAGTAGTAGCAAATTTACAGGTATGCTTCATTCAGTTTTCTAATGCTCCATGTCATCTCCAAACATGTTTCTTTATTGTACATCACAGGACACAGAGCATCTTCAAATTCATGACAATAGGGTTATGCTGCCACCTTCAGGTGATTGGACACTGGCAAAAAGACTTGCAATCCCCTCCTAGGCATAACCCCCCCCCCCCCCCCAGCTAAGCAATGAACAAGTAGGTGCTATGCCCAGAGATAACCCCCATGGAGGTGGAATGTCAGTGCTCTGGCTTAATGTGTCTTCCCTGCATGATGCAACTGAAGAAAAATTGGTATAGCCAGCACTCGTCTTCCCGAGTAATGAACTTTATTGAGCAAGTAAAATGTGTGTATAAAATGGCTTACGCATTTTGGTAATAAGCCTTAGTCATAGCTACCAGTGCTGGCTATACCAATCCTCTTCTCCCAGCTAAGCAAGGCTTCAGTTTTTTGCTAGTGTCTTAGATGATAGTCTTTTCAGTGCAATATTTGCATGAAAAGGTAGCTAGCTTCTCGACTGTTCCATCTGGGATTAGTAGACTTTATTGTACCCATTTTTCTGTGGCTTTTCTACACTCCGAGGAATGATACCTGGATCCTACTCTGGATAAGCAAGGATGGCCAGTAGCATGGACGCTGCGCAGTGATATATTGCCTCACTGACTGGTAGGGTACTATACGGAGGGCAGTGATCCTCAGCTGAGAAATTGAGCTCCTGGAGGCCCTTGTGGCAGAGCCAACTGTGATGGGTGAAGATTGGACTCATCTGATGCCCCCCAACTTAATGGAAAAGGGAATATTGTGGCCAAAAGTTTCTTTTATTGTAAACGGTGTGTAGGGGTTTCATGCAACTGTACAGCCTTGTGCGCTATGTTAAGGGCTAAATAGCAGAGCTTAGGGGGTAGTCTGGGATGCTCTGGCCCCTGACTGTAGGAGGCAAAAAGTCTTAGACTGCTCTCTGCCTTCACGCATGACTGACTAGGGTGCATGCACACTGTGGACAGCGTTATCACAAGTGTGGGGCGGACCAATTTTTCTTGGATCTCCACACCAGAACAGTAGTGTGGGCTCTTGGGGGGCCACTAATTGCAGCAAGGAAAGTGAATTTAGTTGCAGCAGTAGTGTAGTTCCCCATGGAACTAAAGGTGGCAGCATTTTTTTGCTGTGTCTTTCAAGTCGCTCTGCGGGTAAAGCAAGGAAGTTTAGTAAAGCAAACCTTAAGGAAAACATGACCTACAAGTATTACAAAATATTCATATATTTTACACATGCTCAAACTTGCTATCCTCCTCAGCAAAATAGCATGGATGTATGCAATAATTATACTAAACAGCTACTTAACTTGGGTTTTCCTGGTGATGGACTCTTCTTACTGCTCCTTCCTTTTTCGTGTCCTCCAGAACTACTAGTGCTGCTCTCTCTTCTTGAACATATGGTTATCCAAGTCTTCTTCCCCCCAACTTACAGTATAGCATCACTTCTGTCAAAAACCAGTTTAATGAGTTAATTGGCATATGATTTGGGGAGGCCTAGCTTCCAAAAACAATACATAATAGCTAAGTAAAATACTTTCATATTTCTATGCTATAAAAATCAAATAGCCATAGCAACACACAGCAGTCCAATTGCTGGTGGGACTACAGGTTGCAGCAGAGCCTTATGGGGGCCACACAACTTTTCCTTGTGGGGGTCACTGGCAGTTTTTTAGCAGGATGAAATTTGGATGCAGTCCCCCGCATGAAATGTATTCCCTGAGGTGGGGGTGGAGTTGGGGCGTCTGTATGTTCCTGGCAGCTCTGACTGCAACCCTCTCTGGTATTTCTGAGGCACCTTACTCCAGTTCATTTGTGACAAGGGAGGAAATCACATCTGCTATTATGGGGGTAAAGCAGCAATGTTCTTGATTACTTGCTGGCTTGGACCCCCTTGGTTGCAAGTAGAAGCATTTCCCTCTCCTCCTCATTAGTAACAGAGGAGAAATCAATGAAGGACGAGGTAGAGGAAGATTAGAATGTTCCGATAGAAGGGGATGCAGAAGGATCCTCATCCAAAGAATCTACTTTTGACTGCCAGGGTCAGGGCTTATCTCAGACCCTAAAGGCCATTGTGAGTTTTTTGTGTAAGTTGTCCACACTGATTAGACGTTAACGCTGTACAAATCCTCACCTCGTGTCCAGTGATTGAGCTCCAAGTATTTAAGGATGCCTCTCGCCCACTTGTTTGGGTGGGGGGGATGTATGGAGGCCTTAACGGAGGTTTGGCAAGGGGTGATTGTGGATGATTGGGTTTGCAGTACCAGTGGCTTGTGTGTTTCCCAAGGTCCTGGCCTCTGGTTCTGGGACTCCTGCGTAGCTGGGGTATCCATGTTCTAGGATATCTGGATGACTTGCTTCTTAGGGAGTAATCCACTTCACTGCTGGAGACCAATGTGTGTCATACAATGCACACTTTGGAGACATTAGGATGGGTTCTAAGTTTACAGAAGGAAACTTTTGGTTCACCACAGGAGAGGTTGTTACCCATCCACATCCTGAAATGTAGGTGTTTGAGGAACTCTTTCAAAGGTGGGGAACTCAAGAAGTGGATCTTCAAGCATCCAGCTTCAATGTGAAGCTGGACAGATTTCTTCTCCATGACCAGGGCTACTCTGTGGATGCTCTGGTTACACCATGGGAGCAGTCCTCCGTAATTTAGTCCTTCCCAGGATTTCAACTTCTACCTTCGAACCTCTGCTTCATAGTATTTGAATGGCAGTAATTCCAGTGATACTGATTACTCCAGCTTGGCCCACTAGATCATGGTACTTGGGCATTGTAAACATGTCTACGGATGACCCTTGTATACTTCAAGCCGACCTGACCTTCTATTGCAAGGTCCAAACTTCTGTCCTTTAAAGTCCCTGGCTTTTGGAGCCAGGGTCCTGAGATACACGGATGTCTGATTTCAGTTGTTCCTACCCTACTGAAGGCTTGAAATGTGACTTAAAATAAGATTTCCAAGTTCTGTGGTAAATTTTCCTTTGGCTGTCCTTTAGACTAGGGAATTTTATCCTTGCCAGTAGGTCACAACCTGATGTGGAGGTGATCAGGGTTTGGCCTTGAGTACAAGTTAGGTTCAGATTTAGGTCTTGGTAGCCATTTTTTGGAGACCAATTGCTTCACACTCCTTGGTGCATGTCTTTGTACAAAGCACTGCATGCATTGTTCCATTGATCATGACTCCGATTCCGTGGGACCTCAACTTGGTATTTTCTGTATTGCAGAAATCTCAACTTGAACCCATCTGGGATATTCATTTAGCCCTCCTGACACAGAAGATTATTTTTCCTGGTTGCCATTACGTTGACTCATAGTTTCAAAAGTGGATGCTCTTTTCTTTAAGGAATCATTCCTGATGCTCCATCTTGACAAGGTGGTTCTGTAGGCTCAGCCCTCTTTTTACGTAGGGTTGTTTCTTCGTTCCATCTCAGTTGTGAGTTTCAGACACCAGGGGACAAGGCTCTTCACGCTTTGGTATGTTTTGTACTATCTGGTGTTACCTGAAGTCAACTGCTGCAATATGTCAGAATCCCTCTTTGTACTTCCTGGAGGCCCAAGGAAGGCTCATGCAGCTTCCAAATCTACCATTTCTCAATGGATCCATTATCTTACGTCCACAGCTTATGGTCCAAAGGATTTGGGTGGCAGCTCATTCTGGAAGGAGTGTTGCTGCTTCCTGGGCAATTTGACACGAGCCTCAAGTTTTTAAGCTACTACGTGATCTTTGGTTCCTCCTTTTTACCAGGTGAATGTTAGAGCTGCTGAGGACCTGGCCTTTGGTAGGTGTGTTTTGCAGACTGCTGCATGATATCCTAACTTTTTTTTTTTAGTTATTGGAGCAAGTTGGCCGTGTTGCACTCTCCTTGTATTCAGTGCTTTGGGACCTTCTAACCACGAAGATACTTAGTCCTGTGATGTACAATAAAGAAAATGGGATTTTTGGTTTACCTGTAAAATCCTTTTCATGAAGTACATAACGGGACCCCAAGATTCTGCCTGTCTTTGTTTGTGGTTCATGACTTACTACAAATACTGAAGCCTTGTCTAGCTGGGAGGAGTTGAGCCTAGGAAGGTATTTCCTGTCTTTTTTTTTTTTTTTTTTTTTTTTGCCAGTGTCCAGTCACCTGAAGGTGGCAGCAAAGCCCTGTTATCCTGAATAAAAAACATTAGTGTCCTAGTGATGTACTTCAAAGAAAAGGATTTTACAGGCTCCAACCCAAAATCCCATTTTATGTGCATTACTGAACAATGTTTTACTTATCTTGCAGATCGATGATGGCAGCGGTATGAAGAGAGAGACAACTGTTGACGACTTGATCAAAATAGTGGAAGAGCTAACCAGGATTCACTGATTCTGACCCTCTCCATTATGTGTACCCCTTAGGCTTCCCCAAAATCCTATGTGGGAGTAGCCTCCATTGGGCCTGATGGACAGTGAGGAGAGCTTGCATTAATCCTGTCAGTGCCTAAGGAGGGAATACCTTGTTATGCAGCCCATATGGCAGTTAAATCTTTCGCATCTAGAACTGGCCAGTGAAGGGCTTTTGCCAGCGAATGGAAATGTGTGTATTTGTACAGGTTATTACCCCCTACTACCCCCCAAACCCTCTTTCCATGCTGAAAGCTGTCCCTTCTTTTTTCATATATTGCATTGTGAAGAGGGGTTTCTCCCCTAAGAACTTTCTGCATAGCTGATGTGAACTGTGGCACCAGTGCCTGTGCAGAAACCAGGCATGTGACGTCATCTGCAGCAGCTGTGGGGTGTTTCACGTGCTAGTTGGTGTTCTAATGGTGCAGTATCCCTCTCTCCAGTTCCTGTGTGCAAACAGTAAAAAGGAGAAGGCTATATTTTGACATTTTAGGAAATAAATTAGACTGCAATTGAAATTTCTTTAAACCTGTTTATTGCAAGCACCTTTGCGTGGTGATATTTTCAATGTTTGGGATGTTTGCGGGATGGATTGTACTCTAGTTGGTTTACGTTACATGCAATGCATATGTGTTTATTTAGTATGGTAGTGATGGCAAGCAAAATACAGTGACGTATTAAGACAAATTGAGGAAATCTCATGCCACCTTTGACTTTGCACTACCTTACTAAATTAACCTTCTTTATTGAGTACAATGAAGAGTGGAGAAGTTGCTAATAGCAGCCAATTATTTAAGCTGTAGTTTCTCCTTCTTAAATATCTGGGTTGCCACTATTTCAAGTCTAATTGAACCCCATGGAGAAAGCTCTAGTGGGTGCACTGACACTGAGAAGGCTATTGACAAAAGGCAGTAGTACTTGACCTAGAGTATGTACAGAATGCCACAGCCTTTGTGGTCGCCAAGGGGTATGTTTACTCGGTCAGATATCCAGACCATGTTCTGTTATTTTGATTGAGGGTTTGTATAATGTGTATACATTCCTGAGATCCCAAAATCAGATAGAACTAAACCAGGCCCAGATGTGTACCTAGTGCTTTCAGTGTTCAAGACTCTCAATGTTATGCAGTTGACAAAACAAAAACACAAAAAAAAAACAGACTGACTCTGAAACGTCATGCTTGCGGTGATTTTAAGGTGAACTTTGCCACCTCATATTATCACTGAAAAATCTATTATGTTATTACCTTTTAAAAACTCTGCAATCTATGTTAAATTTAATTTGGCTCAAATGGAAGGCAAGGTTGCCTAAGCACAGATATTGACTTGGGCCTATACGTCACTGTAGTTTTGCTGGGATATGTTAAAAGATGGTACCCAAGGGGCTGAAACACTTTTCTAGAGAAAATGCCTCTTCAGGCTTCCTTCAGTGATACACGTCTAAAAGGACAACTGTACTTGGTGGAACATGCCTATTACTGACCATCCCTTCTCAAAATCAAATTTTCCTGGTTTCATGATGATCCTGTAGCCTCAGTACTTTTAGCCTTGCTTACCCTAGGCACATATTCTGATTCACTGACCCAAAACAAACTCTACAATCTAAGTATTAACAGCAGCAAGAACCAGAAGGTACCTAACATCATTTTTAGGAAGTCAGTAGTGGGAGGCTATATGTTTACCTCAGTACAAGTATACTTGAAGTCCTAACCATTTGATTGAATGTACTCTGCTGAAATTTAGGATCAGAGATTGGCTTGGCTGATCCTTCAGTGGAGATTATGTGACTAACAGCCTACACCTTCACAAATGTCTAGCACTGAAGGGAACCTATAGCATCTTTTTTTTTTTTTTCTTTTCTTTTTTTTTACCCCCATACTTTTTTTGTTTTTTTGCTAGAATTCCACTCCACATTTGAGTAAAGGTCCACATCACAACTAGAATTTTGGGGGTAAATCCATTTTAAACCCAAAAATGTATTATATTACAGCCTACCAATCATTAGATGTGGTGGCTGAATCAGTGTTCTTTTCTTTGGCCTTTACCCTTTGCTTTCACCTGGTAATCCAGCCAGGTAACGCACCTTCAGTATTCGTGAGACAACTCTGGATTAATGAGCGGATAGCAGCATTGACAGCCCTGGGGGAGGTTAGTGATTAAATGTGTAAGCAGATTGAAAGTATTTGTAAACCCTCACCTTGTAAAACAACCCATCCAGTTTAAAATAGAAATGAAAGGCAGCACATTTTGTGTATACATAAACTTTATAAATAACTTTTTTTTCCCCCCTTTTTCATAAGTGACCACATGCCCTCTGTTCTCAGCTGCATAAGGATCATAGAAAGCTGGAGAGTAGAAACAGCAGCACGTTAGTCTTCTCAGTGGCTCTATAGTGATGGTGTGTCAGCAAAAGTCTGATCAATGGAAAACAGGCCGAGTTCTCAGCATAGTTAGAAAATTTCACAAAACCAATAGTGCAGTGCTAAAATGATACGAACAAAACAAATATGTGCAATACAGTCACCCAACAAAATAGTAGACAAACGAAACCAGCTCTCCAATCCTCATGCAGACTAAATGAAATTCAGGATGCCAGACGAAGAGGTGCTGCCCTTCAAATATCGGGAAATCTGAACACTGGTGAAAGAGCAGACAAGGGCGCACTCTCATCGTGCATTACTGTGGTATGCCACGTGTTTATTAAATAGTCAAATGGATGTATACTCACAAACCAACGAAGATAAAAGCAGTGTATGTGGTCCGCAATAACAGTCACACAATTGCTGTGTCCTTTATAGGATAAGCTGACGCATTTCAGGAGAGGAAGGGGTATATCTCCCGAAACGCGTTAGCATATCCTATAGGGGACACAGCAATTGTGCGACTGTTATTACGGACCACATACACTGGTTTTATCTTCGTTGGTTTGTGAGTATACATCCATTTGTCTATTTAATAAACACGTGGCATACCACGGTAATGCACGATGAGAGTGCGTCCTTGTCTGCTCTTTTTTACCCAACAAAATAACTACAGACTAGTTTGTATTTATTTTATTGGGTGATTGTATTGCACATTTGTTTTAATGGTTTTTCTAATCCATGTAAAGTGATACATTTTTGTTGGAGAGCTTTGTGCTTTTGAAAATCAACAGACTTGCTGGCTGGATCACCAGATGAAAATAGAAGGGAAAAAAAGGAAGCCATCACGTCTAATTGGTAAGCTGCAATATAATATATTTTGCTTTTGGGTTTAATACCATTTTAAATGTCATAAGGTGTTGCATTTGTTTTCATTTTATAATCCACTTAAGAAGAAATACAGATATTTTTGCTTATTGTAACATTTGAATTATGTAATCTCAGTGTCAAGAGAATAATTCACAAGACAGCCCAGCCACTGCTTTCTATGGGTGCTACACAAAGGAATTTTTATTTGTGGAAACCAAAGAAAATCTGGGATCCAGTATTGGTCTTGCAAGCCGTTTGACATAAATTGTAACTGTTAAACATCCATTGAGAATGAGACATGAATCAATAGGGGGGGGGGGGTTTGCTGTTATTGCTGACATTGTAGTCAGACCGTGTACGTTTTTTTTGTTTATTTTTGGCTCTGTCTTTGAAAAACTGCTTCCTTTAAAATTTAATGAAAATTTTATGTTCTAACCACCGTTGTGTGATTTTTATTTTGCTGATTTTTTTTTTTTTTTTTCCTTTACGGTCCCAGTATATGCTAAATGAAGCATCTACTTTTTAGTGTGTATGCTTAATTCTTGCGAATAAGACACAAAATACTAATTTTCTTGTGCTTTATGTAAAAATAAACATAGAAATTACACTTTTAAGTGAAAAGAATGTCTGTTTTGTCCCAAATGCCGGGACTCACAGCAACCAATAAGAAACAAGATTTTAGCATCTTTAGTGTGAGCAGGGTATGTTTTTGTTTAAATATAACCTCTTTGCTCTATTGGTATCATAGTTCTGTAATATTTTACTTCTAAGTAAATAGGCCTTTTTTTACTTTCTGTCTGAGCTGTCACATTGGGGTGTCTTTTAGTCAGTAGTGTTGGTTTTCAATCATTGATCACTTTATTGATATAGTTGCTCATCCTATTCAGAATTGTACCTTAAGATGCATTGTGTTATAGTTTGCAGTGTGTTCTCATCTATTTAGGTAGCAAACCGCTTATCAAAAAAGATTTTAAAAAGCAACTTCAGTCACAATTATTACACCAATGCTTGGAAAGTTGGGGGTGAGTTAACTCTTGTTTTCTTAGTCAATACACAATCTTTCAACTAGTATATTATTAGGGAGGATATGTCTTTGCATATTCAGGGTAAAAATGACAGGTTCTCTTGAAAGCCCACCCTTCTAAGCCACTGAAAGTTACTTTTGTTGCACCCAGCCGCCATATGAAGCTCAGTGTACATTCTAAAGAATATTGTGAACAGGGATGTAAGAATCTTTTATTGCAGAAGACCTAGGATGTCTTCTCTATTGCAAAAAGCTTTCCTGTTTGAATTTTTTTTACTAAGGTTCCTCTTTAAAATAAAAATAAGAAAAAAAAATGCTGTAAAGAGAACATGGGCAAAAAAGTGCTTGCAGTAGCCTTTAGACATATGCAAGCATGCTGCAATACCCTTCCTGTTCCCAAGGGGGCTCATATTAACTTTCATACAGGAGAGTGTGGACAGCAGGGAGGATTGGACTTTGACACCCTGACTCTCCTATATCCTCAAGGAGAAGAAATCTTTCCAGTAAAAAAAACTTCAATAAAAAAAACCTCCATTCTATTAAAAAAAAAAAAAAAAAACAGTCTTGAATCCCCTTTAAAAATGTGTGCTGCTGATGTGGCTTCACAGTTCAGACACGTGGCTTATCTAGCATTCAATTGTGTCAGAAGGGTTGTTCCGTGATTATGTTGATTGTATTTCATACACCACTAAGAGGGTACATTATTTACCTGCCTACAAAACCGTGACCC